CCAGCAGCACGCCCACCTCAACAACTTCCAGCTCTCCCATCCCACCCAGCCCAGCTAACTGCACTACGGTGAGGGGCTGGGGTTAAAGTAACCTGGGTTCCCAAGAAGAAATCAGAAAGCCCGGTGTTGCCCCAGACGGCAGCTCAGGAAGTGAGGTCTAGGCTTTCTGTGCTCCGGGCCCTTGCTGGCGCACAATGCATATCAAAAGGCCAAGGATAGACCCTGGGGTCCCACTCAGGGTTAGCATGCACAGGGATCCAGGGCTGAAGTCTAGAAAGAAAGAAACTTCCTAAGTGCTCCTTAGGGTGGGAGTGGGTGCTGCCTCTCCTCTCTCCTCTCCTCTCACAAGGTGGTACTAATGAGCTCAGGTTCAGGTGTTTCCCAGATCGAGGTTGACTGTTGAAACAGCTGTGGGTCACAGGCAGTCAGATGAGAGATTAAGAGCAGTAAGGGCCCTCCTGGGTCCTTAAAGGATTGCCCTTTAATTATGGACCTTGGAGGTCACAGTTTCTGAATCTGCTTCCCCCATCTCAGGAAAACTCTGAAGATGATAAGAAGAGGGGCCGCTCCACAGACAGTGAAGTCAGTCAGGTGGGTCCAAGTCCTTACAATTAGTGAAGCTGGAGGGCTGGCCACAATGCTGGGCTCTTGGGGGTCCAAGTCCTTAAAATTAGTGAAGCTGGAGGGCTGGCCACAATGCTGGGCTCTTGGGACAGTAGTGTGCCAGAAACAGTGCCACCCTGAAGGCAGACTGACTGGTGCTGTGGTGGAGGTGGCCTGTGAGCAGCAGCAGGTCACACAGGGCAGCTGTGGCAGGAAACTTGGAAGTATGAGAAGTAGGCCTGTTGGACCAAGGACCTGGTCTGTGTAGACGTCTCTGAAGGAACCACACAAGCCTGGGAAGTGATCAGAAAGCCATCCTGCCTGTGTTGTGTTGTGTTGTGCTGTGCTGACTGTAGGAAGCAGTCCCTGAGAGAGGAAGGCGGTGTGTGGCACTTGTAGTGAATGGACTCTCTTAGCTCTGTCAACTACCTTAGGAAACAGGAATGTTGTAGGAGCCGAAGGACCCCAAAGCCCCTCTGTGAGGTAGAAGGGTTAGTCTCGGGTGGGAGGGCCTCGGTGGGCGCCAGGGCTGGGGAACAGCAAGGATCATAGAGTCAGAGAGGGACTGGGGCAGGGACTTCTGGGAGTGGGCCCATCTCAGCACCCTTACTGGGCCCCTAAGTGTCAGCAGTGATTCCAGGAAGAAAGCGAATGGCCAGTTCCCTTTGATACTTGGTAAGTAAGGTTCTTGTGGCACTTGAAAAGTCCGGCATGGCAGCCTGATTGGTGCACTGTATTTTACAGTTCTGTGACTAGCTGTAAAATGGACCTTTAGCTGACATTCAGAAGCATCCTGGCTGGCCTAGTTCCCTTACCCTTAAACATGTAGGCTGATCCAACTAATCCCAAATTGAGGTGATTTTTGTTGGCAGGGGTGCTATTTAGTTTTTGTTAGTTTTGTGAAAGAATCTCACTGTGTAGCCTTGGCTGGCCTGAACTTGCCTAAGAGATACGGCTAATCTCAAACTCAGAGATGTGCCTGTCTCTGCCTCTCAAATGCTAGGATCAAAGGCGTGCACCACCGCTCCAGGTCTCCACTTGAGGGTACTGAAGCGTTTCCGCTGGTCTCTTTCTTAATGAAATACCCTGTGGGATTCGTGTGGGCTACAGGGACAATGTCCAGCAAGGACTTTGGACAGCCGAGCGGGCTGGAAGTAAATGGGTCTTAAACATGAAGGCGATGGAGATCTTCTTGCCTTGGAGGGTGTGGACAGTTGACAGCAGGTCCGAGAAGATGGGGGGAGGTGGTGAGGGAGGTGGGTGAGTGGACAGGCTGACCTAGAACCTGGCCCTCTGTTCCTTCTTTCCTGCAGTCTCCAG